CTCCCTACCTCAGGACTCCAGGAAGCACAGAAACTAACAGCCAACACCTAAATCAGCCCAATGGGTAGAGGTCAGCGTAAAAGCTCAACCAACAAAAGACAGAGAAATATGGCATCTCCAGAACCCAGCCATCCAGGAGCAAACAGCCATGGACAACACAGCACAATAGAAAATCAAGAAGATGACCTTACATCTATGCTGATGAAGAGGATAATAGAGGAAACAAATAAAATGTGTAAAGAATTAGAGGAAGATAAAACCAAACAGATCATGGCTATCTGTAAAGAAATGGAGGAAGTTAAAGACAAGCAGATTATGGCCATCGGTAAAGAAATAGAGGAATATGCAGCCAAACAGTTTGCGGCCTTCAGAGAAGAAATAATTAAATCAATGAAAGAAGTAAAAAAAAAAAAAAAAAACAGAGTTGAAGGAACTAAAAGAAAAAGAGGAAAATACAATCAGACAAGTGAAGAAAGTAAACAAAACAAATCAAGACCTGAAGATAGAACTGGAAAAATTAAAGAAAACACACATGGAGGAAATGATGGAGAGGAAGAATTTAGGGAAGAAAACAGGAACTACCGAGGTAAGCATAACTAACAGACTACAAGACATGGAAGAAAGAAGCTCAGGTGTAGAAGATACAATGGAAGAAATCAATGTATCTGTCAAAGAAACTGTTAAATCAAAAAAATTCCTGACACAGACCATCCAAGAAATCCAAGACAATATGAAAAGACAAAACCTAAGAATAATAGGTATAGAGGAAAAAAGAAGACTCCCTTCTCCAAGGCCAAGAAAATATTTTCAACAAAATCATTGAAGAAAATTTCCCCAAGTTAAAGGAGAAGCCAATAAGAATACATGAGAACTACAGAACACCCAACAAATTTGACCAGAAAAGAAAATCCTCCCGCCACATAATAATCGAAACAGTAAGTATACAGAACAAAGAAAAAAATACTAAAAGTTGCAAGGGAAAAAGGCCAAGTAACATATAATGGCAAACCCATTAGAATCACACCTGACTTTTCAACAGAGACTATGAAAGCCAGAAGGGCCTGGACGGATATCATGCAGACCCTAAGAGAACACAGATGTCAGCCCAGACTACTATACCCTGCAAAACTCTTAGTCCTCATAGATTGAGAAAACAAGATATTCAATGACAAAAACAAATTTCAACAATATCTACATACAAATCCAGCATTACAGAAGACACTGGAAGGGAAAATACAACCCAAGAAAATTAGTTTCTGTCAAGAAAACACAAGAAATAATTAACCTTACTACAGTAAAACAAAAAGTAACCAAGCACACAACCTTATGACCACAGCCAACATTAAAATCAAAGGATCTAACAGCCACTGGTCATTAATGTCTCTCAACATCAATGGACTCAACTCTCCAGTAAAAAGACAGAGATTAACAGAATGGATACATAAACAAAACCCAGCAATCTGTTGCATACAAGAAACACACCTAAGGCACAAAGATAGACATTACCTGAGGGTAAAAGTTTGGAAGACGACTTTCCAAGCAAATGGACCCAAGAAACAAGCAGGAGTAGCCATTCTAATATCTGATAAAATAGACTTTCAACCAAAATTAATATAAAGAGATGGGGAAGGACACTTCATATTCATCAAGGGAAAATTCCACCAGGAAGACATCATAATCCTGAACATCTATGCCCCAAATACAAGAGCACCCACATTTGTAAAAGAAACATTGATAAAATTTAAACCACATATAGATCCCTACACATTGATAGTGGGAGACTTCAACACCCCACTCTCAACAAAGGACAGGTCAACAAAACAGAAATTAAACAAAGAAACAATATCTCTGACAGATGTCATGAATCAAATGGACCTCACAGACATTTACAGAACCTTACACCCAAACACAAAAGAATTTACCTTCTTCTCAGCACCTCATGGAACCTTCTCCAAAATAGACCATATAGGTGGTCACAAAGCAAGCCTCAACAGATACAAGAAGATTGAGATAATCCCTTGTATCTTGTCTGATCATCATGGAATAAAGGTGGACTTCAACAAGAACAGAAATAGCAAAAAGCCTACACACATATGGAAACTGAACAACTTCTTACTAAATGACAGCTGGGTCAGGGAAGAAATAAAGAAAGAAATTAAAGACTTCCTAGAACTCAATGAAAATGAAGACACAACATACCCAAACTTGTGGGACACAATGAAAGCAGTGCTAAGAGGAAAGTTCATAGCACTAAGTGCCTTCATGAAGAAATTCGAGACAGCTCATTCAAGCATATTAATGGCCCCCTTAAAAACCCTAGAAAAAGAAGAAGCAGACACACCAAAAAGGAGTAGATGGCTGGAAATAATCAAACTCAGGGCAGAAATCAATCAATTAGAAACAAATAAAACAATTAAAAGAATCAATGAAACCAAGAGCTGGTTCTTTGAGAAAATCAACATGATCGACAAACCCTTAGCCAAGCTAACTAAAAGGCAGAGAGACACCACCCAAATCAACAAAATCAGAAATGAAAAGGGGGTCATAACAACAGACACTGAGGAAATCCAAACAATCATTAGGACTTACTTCAAAAGTCTATATGCCACAACATTTGAAAATCTAAATGAAATGGACAATTTTCTTGATCGATTTGACTTACCAAAGCTGAATCAAGACCAGATAAATCAATTAAATAGTCCTATATCCCCCAAAGAAATAGAAGCTGTCATCAAAAGTCTCCCATCCAAAAAAAAGCCCAGGACCAGATGGCTTCAGCGCAGAATTCTACCAGACCTTCAAAGAAGAGCTAACTCCTATTCTCTTCAAACTATTCCACAAAATAGAAACAGAAGGAACATTACCAAACTCATTCTATGAAGCCACAGTCACCTTGGTACCTAAACCTCACAAAGACTCAACAAAGAGAGAGAATTTCAGGCCAATCTCCCTTATGAACATTGATGCAAAAATACTTAACAAAATACTCGCAAACCGAATACAAAACACATCAAAGATGTTATCCACTATGACCAAGTAGGCTTCATCCCAGGCATGCAGGGGTGGTTCAATATACGGAAATCCATCAATGTGATCCACCATATTAACAAACTGAAAGAAAAAAACCACATGATAATCTCCCTAGATGCTGAAAACGCATTTGACAAAATCCAACATCCATACATGTTTAAAGTATTGGAGAGATCAGGGATACAAGGCACATATCTAAACATAGTAAAGGCGATACACAGCAAGCCTATAGCCAACATCAAACTGAACGGAGAGAAACTTAAAGCAATCCCACTAAAATCAGGGACAAGACAAGGCTGCCCACTCTCCGCATATCTCTTCAACATAGTGCTGGAAGTCCTTGCTAGAGTAATAAGACAGTTGAAGGAGATCAAGGGGATACAGATCGGAAAGGAAGAAGTCAAAATATCACTATTTGCAGATGATATGATAGTATACGTGAGTGACCCCAAAAACTCTAACAGGGAACTCCTACAGCTGATAAACACCTTCAGCAAAGTGGCCGGATACAAAATTAACTCAAAAAAAAAAAATCAGTAGCACTCCTGTATACAAAAGACAAAAGGGCTGAGAAAGAAATTAGTGAAACAACACCCTTCACAATAACCACAAATGACATAAAGTACCTTGAACACAGGGAACTTCCCAGAGACTCATACTCCAACCAAGGACTATCCATGGAGATTACCTAGAACCCTGACAATGCAGCCACTTCTGATGAGAACTGATAGACTAAGATCAGAAAGAAGGAGAGGACGACCTCCCCAATCAATGGACATGGGGAGGGCCATGCATGCATAAAGGAGCGGGGAGGGTGGGACCAGGAGGCGAGGAGGGAGGGGCTTATGGGTGGATACAAAATGAATAAAGTGTAATTAATAAAAGTTAAATTAAAAAAAATGTCCTTCCACATTTTGGACAAAACTTGCTGGTGTTCAGTGTTTAAAAATTACTATAAATACAAAGTGAATAAAGTGTAATTAATAAAATTAAATTAAATTAAAAACTAAAAAAATAATGCATAATTATCACTTCAAGAACCCAAGCACAATACTTTTCTCAGGTAAATTATCCCATAACTATATTCATAAATATTTGTTTATTTCATACATATTTTATATTTGCACATGGTCCATATTATATTGAAAATGGCTCAGAATACATTAGGTAAATTTTCAGATTATTCCTTGTATTTCATTCTTTGGAAAACATTGAAATTCTATATTCCTTTATTTACATATTTTGGTAAGCTACTTAAAAAATTCTTCTATGTGTTACATGTCATATAAACATGAAGATTATCGTGCAAAAGTACCATACCCTTCAGTTCTTCATTAAATAGAATAAATATAAGTAAGCATTCAAAATTACAAAATAAATGGAAATTGTTTCACATTCATTTGCTTTAATGGTTTGAGCATTTCAGCTTAACCTAATTGATTTTGTCACAATGCTTGCAATAAGAAGAGATAATTATATACACAAACGTGCATAATAATTAAAGAGTTATAAATACCCTAGATCATGCAGATGTACAAGGCCTCATGGTGGATTTTTGATATGCTTTACACACAGAAATATCATATATAGGAAAATATTTCAGAGGTGATTGGTTTAGATAGATTTCTTTTGTGCTTTTTATTTATTAATTATTTTTGGCCTGTTGCATGCTCTGTTATTTTACTGTAGGTGATCCCTGAAAGTACAAATGTAAACCATTGTTGGGTGCAGTTCTAGCATAGCTGTGGCAAAAAAAAAAAAAAAATGTGTGACAGAAAGAAAGATATAGAAAAGAGAAGAGAACTTTATCTCCATTATAGTCAGTGGTAAAATTTCCTTAAGTATATTTTGGCCTTCATTATCCTTTTGAAAACCTTGTTGTGGGGATTTCTTGTCCCCTTCAGAGTATTGTGCAACCTTCTCAAGATATCATTTAGCACAAGTTTCCACCTTGAAGGAGATCTTCCTACCTTTCCAGTCTTAACTCTGTGAGAAATGGCTGCAAATTGACGGTTGAGTTCGGAGATTTGGGGTTCTACTATTTTCAGGCAGTGTTCACCGAAGTTTGCCATCAATTTCGCTCCTTGGTCACGTGTGGAGTCCACCTTTGGGCGGATATCGTCCATTTCAGCCTTTAAACGCTATATTCCATGAGCAAGAAACAGGGCTTTAAGTTAGTAATCAAAGTTGCAGCAGACACAGAGGAATAGAGAGCAAGGAAGGCAGGAAATGAGGAAAGAAAGGAGAGAGGGACGGAGGGAGGGGCAGAGTAGAAATGGGAGAGGAAGACATGACAAGGAGAAATATGGACATATATGCAGAGATAAAGAGTGGAAAGAACAAAACTAATTTCAGTAAGAGTGAAGTATAATAAAATTGTGTGTTACCTTAAAACTATTAGGACACTATTTAACTTTCCCACCTGTCAAATATCTGGTTTGTATTATATATAAATATTTGCATGAATTTCACCATTACATGATATCTTTGATTATAGCATATTAAGAATTAAGACTACAGATTATAACACAGATCCATGCCAAAGATATAGTCCAGATAATAAGGGAAATATGTCTTAAAGATATCCTAGGATATAGTTAGTATTTCATTTAAAAAGACAAATTCCACAACACAAAAACTAAAAATGAGAACTGAACATGGTGTTATAAGTCTGTGATCCCAATAGTCTTGAAAGACTGTCAGGACATTTGTAAATAAAAAGACAATGTGTTATATAATGACTTCAAGGCCAGCTTGAGTAACTTGGTGACACCCTGTTTTAAAACCAGTAACCACAGTAAAGAAAAAAGAAATGACAATAAAAGCTAAATTTTTAAACTGTAATAGAAATCACACATGATTGAAAAATTCAACCAAACAAAATAAGTGAATTATTAATTTAAAAAAGATCTGTAAATAATCAACTCTTAATTTGACTGAGAAATGAAATAACATCAAATAGACATAAATGATATTTCTACTTCATACATCTTTTTGTAGAAAACATATTTTAAAATAATGGTTAATATGATCTTGTGACATAAAACAAGGGATGCCTAAATAAGTTTAAAATAATGAGAAAACCTATTTTATATATGTTACTTTTGTTTATATGTGTATAATGCAAAAATTGGTTTACATATGATGATGGTAATGAACAATACCACGCTGAATATCTTTTATTCAAATGCTTCTAAAAGTATTTTATACTTTATATTTTGTAATTTTTGCCCTGAGCAATGTGGTATCTTGATAACTGGCTCCAAAACAAGCAAAAACTAATTTAGAGTGCATAAACACCTATACATTTATCATGACAGTAGCCTTATGCATCAGAGTAGAATAATTTTATACATGCAACAATATTTTCATGGTACAGAATAGCTTATTGTGGGATGGTTTAAGTATTAAAACATCTGGGATTTTACAGCACTCTGAATTTGGGATTTATAGATCAAAGATACTGAATCTATAGTGAGACTGATGTTTGGCACTCCAGATACAAAATGAATATTTAATATGGGCTACATGAAAGGACAAGAAACTATGTTAATAATATACACACGAAAACTGCCATTGAAATAAGAATAATTTCACAATAGAGCATAAAATATATATTCTGATAAATCTTTTGAATTAAGCTCAATTATAGAGAGAACAGATATGAACTTGGACAAATATCCAAATTACAGGTCTCTAAAATGTCATTAATTCCTATAATAGAAGAAAATAGAAAGCAATGAACATAGTACGAGAGAAAAAATAATAGATGATCAAAAGAAGGCAGTAACATGAGCAGAAAGGAAAATATAAAAATGGCTATACTTTTTTATTAAAGTCTTTAGAATTTTGTAGTTCAAACATAATGATCATAATGTGTACAGTCTGAAAACTACTTCCCGCAGTATTTTATTTGGTACCTTAAGAATATCTTCCTTTTGTTGTGGTTTCTTTTTTTCAGATTCATCCAAAAGTTCATCTGTGTGAATGATCCACTTTGTAATATGTTCTACGTCCTTATTAAAGTTTTCTATATGTTTCTGGTATTCCTGAATTATATAGAAACATAGCATGCTATTGTTTAGAAAAAAACTTAAAAATTCTTCATTTTTCTAAAAAAATAATATTTAAACTCTTTTATGTAACATAGCAAAAATAGAAAGTAGTGTAAAGTACTGAAAACCATCTTCAAATTATGAGCCTGCATACCAGCATATAGAGAGAGCAGTTGAATTCTCAAAGACATTGTTCCTGAAATCTTTTCCATTAAATTTTTATTTTATATTAATTATATTCAGTTTATATCCCAGCTATAGCCCCCTGCCTCATTCCCTACCAATCCCAGCCTCCCTCCCTCATTTCCTCCCATGCCCCTATCCAAATCCACTGATAGGGGAGGTCCTCCTTCCCTTCCATCTCACCCTTATCTTATTTTCATTTTGTTTTGTTTCTTTGATTGTTGACAAAGAAGAGTGGGAAAGTGTGGCAGTTTGAAAGAAAATGGACCAACAGGCTCATAGGGGGTGGCACTATTAGGAGGTGTGGCCTTCTGGAGTAAGTGTGGCCTTGTTGGAGGAAGTGTGTCACCATGAGGGCAGGCTTTGAAATCTCATAGGCTCAAGCTGTGCCCAGTATGGAACACAGTCTATCTTTCTGTTGCCTGCAGATCAAGATGTAGCACTCTTAGCTCCTTCTCCAGGAGCATGCCTGCAAGCATATTGCTATGTTTTCTGTCATGGTGATAATGGACTAAGCCAGTGAAACTGGAAGCCAGCCCCAATGAAATTATTTCCTTCATAAGAGTTGCAATGGTTTTGATGTCTTTTCAGTACTATATAATACTAAGACAAAAGGCTCCCAGCCTCTTTCCTTACCAACAAAACATTTAGCCATTCTTCTGCTCTGGAGGTAACAGCTATCCAGTTACTGTTCAGAAGACTCAGTTTATCTTCCACCAGGGTTTCTTTCTGACCCAATACCATTTTCAAAGACTCTCCTAGTTCTGTGACACTCTTCAAGTGAACCTTTTGTTTCTCAATCTCTTTCTGAGTTGCCTGTAAGAAAAAGAAATATTAAGCTTCAAGAAATACACTATATGTAGCATAAAGACACAAAGTTTGTGAAAGGGTTGTAAATTTGGTTGCTATGTAAAGATTTTTGTAAGTCATAATCCTAAGACCATGTGATTATGAAACATAAAAACTTAAGATATGTATTCTAGTGTTAATTCTGGGTATATTGGATGTATATTGTCATAAAATGTGATTAATATTTTAATCATAATTATAGATGCATAATACCTAAACCTACATTTTAATTAATATTGTATGATTATTAAATTTATCATGTATTGGCTAAAAGGTAGACAATTTCAGACTCATCAATAAATAAATACCTGTCTTAAGAAATTAAACCACTATTATTTTATTATTTCTTTATAACAGTATACTCGGACTTTTAGAGACATGCATATTTTTGACAACTCATTAAATTTAATGAACTTTTCTCAAAATGTTTTCTAAAGTATAAAATAAATAGAAAACAAAACCAAACCTATTTTTTTTAAAAAAAGAGAAAAGTCATTTACAAATGAAGCCAATGTATTAATTACTAAAACCAAATTAATAAACAAAGAAAGAAAGAAAGAAAGAAAGAAAGAAAGAAAGAAAGAAAGAAA